ATTATACATGAATTAAACTCATATTTTTCTTGTAAAATACATATGGCAGAGCCCCCTCCCTCAGTGAGTAAAAACTGCAGGATTGCTAAATTTGTAAAGACTTGATGCACTATTGACCATATGGTATTGAGTTTTACAATCTTTTTTAGTTGTCAGACATATTGATGACGATAAGTACCATGAACGTAAGCTTAACAATTTTCTTATTGAAAAGAAATTAAAGATGATAGCGCCTTACTTGAGTAATGTCAATTAAACAAACCTATGAAGGACTATATTTACGATTGCTCACGTCATACTGGCGTAAGCTTGCATAATACTTAACTTCCTTCTGGTGGATACTACAAAATAAAAATTATTTTACTGGATTTGGTGTCGTCTTTACGTCGTTAACGTGGATATCGGTATTTTTCTTTGCTTCTGCACTTTACTTTGCGTATGAATAGAATAGTCTTATTTATTAGGATTTTTGTAGTTTTTACACTTATTATCATAATTAGTTGACAATCTTGTGTTATTTTTAGTTAACAATGCATTGAGCCTAAACTCGTCCGACAAGTCCAAAATATTCTGGCATCACATAGCGCCAATACACTAGCATACAGTGGATGCCTCATTGTATTTGTATCTGTCTTAAATTCGTTTGTTGAATGGTATATATAAACCGACATCGACGTTAAATTCTTTGTCATCAGAAAATTTACCTTAGGGTTTTTTTCTGCATAAAGAAATAACCCGCAACTGATATAAAAAAAGGCTTGATGAGGATGCTTAGTAAACGATACAAATTTATTGTTAAAGTAAAAAAAAATAAAGTAAAAATTAATATAAACCAAACGTAATTGTTGAAATAAAACACATAAAATACAGTTATGCTTCAAACATCTACCTTGATTCTTATCTGTAATATCCAAGTGTTCTCCAAGTCCCTCGTCCTCCTGGATTCTGCTTCTGAAAAGGGGAGTTTGCACGGGATTTTTTCTCTCGTTCTACTGAGAGAAATAAATATGGAAAATGCTATCACGTCAAGTTTAAGGAAATTGTTTATTACGGCTCTCCACATGGCTCTACAAATAAACGGTTCCACCTTGCTGCGTGAGCTGCGAGCGCGCGTTTAGGGTCCTGAAACTAAGAGGGGCCACTGCCCTGACGAGCTCCTGGCCATGCCACACGCACCTTCACTTGCACGTCCTCTCGCCGTCCCTCGACTCTATCCCTTTCCAGCCCTGTTGTACACGCAATTGCATTTCTCTCTCTCTCTCTCTTTCTGTATCCCGGTAACCTTACCCTTGTCCCTTTGTCCTAGGTCTCTCTTTCTCTCTCTCTATCTCGTTTCCTCTCAACTATGCCCCTCTACCCTATAGACCTAGAACGGAAACGCGTGACACTATTAATTCGGCACTCCCGAGCATGCACCCACGACTTCTTGTGATCTGGCCCTCTCTCTCTTTCTCTCTCTTTCTCTCGCACTCACACACTCTCTCTCTCTTTCTCTATCCTCTGTCTACTCCTGGACCTCGTTCAGGAGGCCTACCAGCGCTCGCAATCCCTAGTACGACGCACAAAAAACAAAGGGAAAAGAAACACCCTATCTCTCAGCTCTCTAACTCGTGACAAGGGCGTGTGGCATCCTGCTGGGCCTCGAGCTGCTGGTGAGTTCGTGGGGCTGATGGCTGCTGTCTTAGTCTTCCTCTCTCTTTCTTGTTCTGCGGTCACTCTCTCTCTCTCGTCCTGAATCTCCTCGTGGTGATGGTCTCCAACGACGGGGACACAGCAGCTCACTCTTCTCTCTCTCTTGTTCTAAAACAGCTTTCTCTCGCTCTCTCTCAAATCGCAAAACCTCTAGCTTTCCTATGCGGGCGCGATGGCTCTTGACTTGAGACTGAGTCAGCCCGTCCCGCTGCAACCACAGCGCATACTACATCTCAGCGCCTTTTTCTCTCTCTCTCATTACCCGAGGGCCACCGCCGCGGCCCGAACAGTGCTGCGCGCGCTCACTCTTATTTCTTCGCCACTGTTGGTGCTATGTCCCGCGTCGCGTCGTTCTCTTCTCTTTTTTCTGGGAGCCAAAACAAAAAAAAAACAATTCGGGGAAGGTAAGCCTTTGCCGATATGACGTCATATGCATTGCGTCAGGAAGAGCTACATGAGCCTGGAGGCCAGATTTACCTCGTTACAATATATAGCGAGGTTTTGAGATGATAGTATCTTACTAATATATAAAGCAAAGTCGCTAAGACCATTGGAATTGCTTACCACAAAAACTACTGAACCGATTTTGCTGAAATTTTTCGTACTGATTCTTAATGATTCCAAGATGGTTTTTGCAGAGTTTTTTTCTTGAAAAAAATAATAACAATAATGGTAAATAAGTTCAAAGTTTTGCCTAAATAAGCTAGCTTTGCGCTTTAGTACAGTAGGATCGACTAGGTGGCGTCGAGGTAAAATTGAAGCCACGCGCAATCAAAGATAGTGAAAAGTAGTTTTAAGATGCTCCATCGAGCTGACAATTATCGTAGTCAATCATCGGCACTACACCAAGAACAGAGTAGTCTGTCGTGCAGCTGGGCATCCCGGCTACCAATGACACTATTCTTTCATGGGCAAGCGAAATAAATCAGTTTTTACTGCAGATCACCAAAATAACTGAGTGCCGCGGAAAAAAAATGTTTGGAACGTCAACGCCTCTGATGGAATTCCAGAAGACGTGTCTAGCCGGAGCATAATTTGCACCAGCACTTCAGAAATTTGGGCCGTTCAACCATTGGACCTGGTGTTGTCAGAGAATTTCCTACTTTAAATGCGAGCCAGGGAAGACAGCCCTAAATAGTAACGACAACTACAACGGCCTCCTTTTTAGTAGTCGTCCCAACGGCATACCTAGAGAAAAGGTATTCTCCAGGCCCACTTTCCTGACTAACGATAAACGGTTGGTTATCTGGAAAACGACCCAAAGACAAGATATTCTTTGGTTAACAGCATACTTGCCTCCTACATGGCCTTCTTACACAGAGACTCAAAGAATAAGAGTCAAGCTACCTGCAGCTGGCTCTCTCTTATCAAGAATAATAGTAAAGAATAGCTGCAAGTCTCACCACTGGCCCTTTTCAGGGCCATTATGTGTATAAACAATTTCTACTTAACCATCAATCTCATTGGTTCTTTTAAGATTTACCTAATTTTACATTACCTTGCCAACAACTTAATTTTTACTACCATTCCTGGAGATGATTTGTCAACTTAAAGACTATGTAAAGCCAGCCACTATTAAACCATGTCAGTCATTTGCTGGCAGACGTCACGAGCAGAGTTGTTCGTTGCAAAGCTGGAAATCCCGGTGACTGGCAATCCTTTATCTTCCTCTCGAGTTTAAGCATTCAACCAAGAATCACCGTTCCTTCAAGGTCTACGTTGTAAGAACCTAACAGCAACTAAGAAAATATAATAAACGTGAGCCAACGTGACAGTTTTTAACGGATAAGCATAACGAACAAATTTCCTTACCTTAGATCACCAAAACAACTGAGTCTGCAAAAAAGAAGGTGCTCTAGACACCAACGTCTTCGATGTTATACCAGGAGACGTTGGGAAAAAGCTCTATAACTAGCTCCAAAGCCTTAAACGTTGTAGTTTTCTTCCTAATTAGTGTAGTGCTGCAATAACAGGCCAGAGAATATCACCCTGAGGTATAGAGGCAATCGCGTTTGCTGGAAACTTTAGTCAAGAAAGAGTTTACTTTAGAAGTTCACTGGTCCTTTTCAGGGTCATTGGACGTCGAATTACCTTGCTAACGAATATATTACAATCTAATAAAGTTGAAAGAAAAGCCTTTAGGGCTTACGAGAGTCTCAACTATGCCATAAATTTCAAGTCGTCGTATGTCGAATTGGAAGGAAAACTTTAAATGCATTTAATGAATACAATTTTGGGCGTCAAGAAAATCACAAAAAAATTTATTAAGTGAGAGATTAGCTTTTCATTATAACCCTTACAGTAATCTTTTGAATTATCTAGATTTTTAAATAGGTAAAATATGTATTTGTATTTTTGCTGTGATAAAAAACGTAGAGAATAAGCTCCAGAACTTTATTGGTCTGGTAATAAAGTTGTGACATAAGAGAAAAAGATTTCTTATACCTATATTTTTGTGAGCTTTGAATATTTACAGCCTTAAACAATTGCCTTGTTTATAAATTATACAAGAGAAACTGCAAATCAACGGCTTTTTAAAGCCAACAATTATTTTATGGCATAAGGAATGCACGGTACTTTTCAGCATAATTATATTTTTCTCACTTTTTAGAGCTTCTTACTTGACTAAACAAACTGCATGCATTCCAAATAAATATGTTTTTAATCAGAAAGTGTTTGTCTTAAGAAGTGTCAGAAATAGATGTGAAATTTTCAACTGAAAACGTTTTACATTACATATTAACACACTACGGTGTTTAATTTAGTGAGTCTTGGGCGAAGCTGACGGGGGGCTGCTAGTATCTATATAATGCAGAACCTGAATCAAACAAAAGAGGGGTTCAAACAAATTTAGTATATCTTAGTTGAGCGTACACCTGACACATTTATGCATACTTACCTAACTGAAAGGACTGACTGACTAAACGTGATACACCAACATAGGAAACACAATTCTGATTTTGTAAGCATGAGCAGTTACTACTTACTTTTATGATTAAGGAATATCGAGTCTTATACCTGACATAACTGACGTATTTTTATTTGTAATCAATCAGTAACAATATATTACCATTGATTGTCTAATAGGTCAGCTAATTAAATCCACGTTGAGTGGAGCCTACTGTTTCTCTAGACAATGAAGAAATTGTTTATTTTTGCGAGCTCGCTGTTATTTTAACATTCTTACACATTTAAAAATTTTTTTAATATTTCATGTTAAACGTGTTTATAACTTCTTTTTTATGTATAAAGAAAAAAAGATATAATTCTAATGTGAATTTTAACACGAAGTATAATTTTTCTTTAAGTTGTTTACGCCCCTTATTGGAAGCATATACACGGATTTTGGAAAATGAAAGATCTGGATAACGTTTTGTTTATTAAGTACGAAGATATGAAAAAGGTAATTTTTACTTACTATCACTAATAAAAGAAATAACATATATTATTACCGATCGAATGTTTTGTTGTCTGCATCTCTTTAATTAAAAGAGCTTATTTTAAAATTTTTTTTTTCCCCTTGATTCCATAGGATTTGCCCGCAGTGATTTATAAAACAGCTAAATTTCTTGACAAAGAACTTGATGACACACAGGTAGCAGCATTAGAAGAACATCTGAGCTTCTCTAGTATGAAAACTAATCCTGCTGTTAATCGTGAAAAGAGTATTGATGCTGTAAAAAATAAAAAGATATTTGGTAACTTTGAGGTTGAAGGTGAATTTATAAGAAGTGGAACTGTAGGTCAGTGGAAGAATATAATGGATAGTGACATGATTAAACAATTTGACGAGTGGATTGATCAGAATTTAAAAAACGTGAAGGGACTCATTTTATAAAATAATATATATCCATTTACATTTGAATAACAGATTCTTTTTAAATTGTAACTTCATACAGTTTCAAGGAAGTTTTATTATCTAAATATCTAATAACTAATACAAAATTTAAGAATTAGATTCTTGCTATAATTGATCTTAATCTTCAAATTTTTTATTTTTTCTGGTTCATTGTTACGTATAATTCTATAATCTATTTTTATATTTTAATTAGTAGAATTTTAAGACGACAAGTAATATCTAAATTTTGGAATACAAATTGTAGAAACTGGTGTTTATTATTCGAAATTAAACCAAGAGCTGAAGAATATTATGACGAGAATGTGTAACTCAAAGAATTAATTTTTTTTTTTTTACCCTAAGTGGTATACAACTTTTCACTAATCCTATACTAAGAGAAAAAATTTTCTTTTTACCTTGTGGAATGGGAGCTCCTTTTTTTAGCACCGTATGATGAAAAACGAAAACTTTTTCTTAAAGTATCATAAAAATGTACGTTACAAGGTAAGTGACTTTAAAGATGCACAATCACAGCAGCAATACGTAATATACCGAAAATCTGTGGAAACCACAAAAGCATATTGTATCCATTGGTATACAGCTAGACATAAGGTGGAGAAGTACAATAAAAACTAAGGATAGGAAGATAAACAGTTAATTAAATTAAATTTAACAGTTTTTAAAATAAGAAAATGAAAGCCTACATTAGCTAGAACTTATGTTCGTTTTTAGTTTAAAATAATAAAGTTGACTTGGAGTACATTGATAAAAAACATTTTATCAGGTAAGAGAAATAGTTCAAAGGTATTCGATTGCACGTAAAAATTTGGCTTCCATTAATAGTAAAAAAAAAGTGAAGAAAAATAAGACAAGCAAATAACGGAAATACTTAAATTTTTTTGAAATTACATAAGCGTATGTGAGGCTAAGTGTGCGTGTGTGTACTGCTTATTCCTAACGTATTCACAGCGAATCTTTCTATTTATGAAGGCAATGCAAATTATTTTTTAATACTATCATCAAAAAAAGAAATTTCGAATGAGCGAATGACTAACACATGTATAATGGTTATCTAGCAAATGTCTAAAATTGTTTTGAATTCAGAAAGCCGTGAAAAAAATTAACGTGCGGGTATTTATTGCAAACAACTAAATACTAATCGATTATGCTGACAGTAAATTCTAACAGGACTTATATTTATTTTATATAAACAAGTAAAAAGTATTATTAAGCATTAGTAAGGTGCCTGAAAGTTCATCAATTAATTTCTAGGAAATGAATTTATCACAAGTTTTTGAATTATACACTGATTGCTCCCAGTATTGCTAGATTTCAACAATTATCTCATTATTACCATTATGATAAGGTAAATGACATTCTTTTGACGCTTAACTTACGGAAATTTAAGTCATATATACCCTTGTTGGGCTTTGCTCCCTAGACGCTTTCAACGCTAACCTTCTATTTCTAGTATAAGAATTTGATAATAAATGAAGAAGTTCTTCTTACAATCTTTCAACAATTAGTGACCTCATCCAAAAATTTTACAAAAAATAACAAAAGAAATAAGACCATTTAACAAAAACAATGATAATAGTATGAGAATATGTATTAATATTAGTTTCATTTACGTATGTACGTATACAGTAAATGTATAAGTACAATAAATATAAGAACATGTGAAAGAATGTATGAAGTTAAAAAAATTCATATTCTAAAATATAAATTAGCACAACAAAAAAATTCAGCACACATGTCTGTCGTATACAGGGTGTGAAAAAACAAATAAAGAAGTTGCTAATGTTTTTAAATTCTATGAATGGAAATAAAAATTATGATCTTCCAAGTAACAATATATATAAGATCATGTAATTTCAAAAGATGTCAGGCGATAAAAAACATAAAGGTATAGTTATTCTTAAATAAAGTTGGGTGTCTTTCAATATACAAAAGAATTATTCCAACGAAGCATTGTTTTTTTTTACTTTATTTTATGGTGGGAAAGAAAACACAGTAAAATGAGACGTTTTTTTTTTTGGTGAGGGGTACTTGACACATCCACCAAAATAAGTTTATATTATAAAAAGATTTAAACGAAAAAATATTTAATATACTCTCAAGACCTTCAACCTTAAATACTTTATTTGTTAAGAAAGTTCTTATTGATATTAAAACTCACTAATAATTTACTTTTATGAGACTCTTCCGTCCAACGAAACAGTGGCCGTTCAGCGTACATATGGATGATTAGGAAGATACGGGTAAATTTAAACTCGTCAGACCCGACACCTGCTTTCATTCTGACTCTTTACATAAGGACAGCGATTTTGTTCACAACATTAGAAAAGCAATGGGTTTTGCAATATATTATTACAGAAACGCTAGTATAATTAAGAGCAACAAAAAGATTACCATTTGACGTATTAAAGTAACAAGCGATGTATACAAGTGTCAATTGTATCGAAAGCTGTGATAACTTTGTTTTTGAGGATGTGTTACTGCCTGAGTATTAAAATACTTTATTACGACTATTAACCCATCCTAGCTTAAACATTTATCTTCATAGATAATTGAAAAGTTATATGTTTATTTAAAATCATATTAGTAAAGGCTTGTGTAACACAACTAGGTAAGAACAACGTAGTATTGTATTACAACATGAGATTCTCATAAATGCTGAAAATAATGACTCAAGTGGTACTGCTATCAAGTACTTTTTGAAATAGACAATGTTGAAATTTGGCACTGTTACCTGTCCCATCCCCTCCCCTGAGCTAGTTTTTGATCACTACGCCCGTCCCGTTCCTCACTATGATTCGCAGAGTTATTCAGTCGCCTTCTGGCTTCGCAGCCTAACGGTTGTGTTTTTCAAGTTACTTACTTCGTATTACACCTATTTACCAGAACTCTTTATATCACTAGTATAAGTAAATGTCGCTCTCAATTAGTTCCTTTTTGTTAACTGTGTAATCCTCTCTCTCTCTGTCCTCCTGGCAGAAGGATTCTCGCAAATCTCGCTCAGCTAACAGGTTATGGGCTCAAGACGAAGAGAGGGACGACTTGCAGAGCATTGAATAATCGTGGTACTACTAGATAAAAGTGATACGTGTACGAGTTGGATAAAAAAGTATTTGTATCTCTCCCATCCTCGCGAGCTCCCATACAATGCGTGGGGATATGTAAATGGCTCTACGAAAAACCAACGGTTGAAAAAGACAAACCAGATACAAACAAGATCATTAAAAAGTGGGTAAACGAGAACTTAAAGGCTCAGTCAGACATTATCCTTGCCATCAACCCGTCCAAGATTAAACTAGTCAAGTCATGAACAACAGTAAAGAAGATATGGAAGTGACTGGAGTCACTATATTTGTCAAAAAGACTTATTAGAAAGGCCGTCCTGCTCAATCAGATTATCTTAACAAAGATGGCAGAAGGAGAGGATGCTCGACAATACATCAGAGAGTTCTTTAACATGGTTAAAAAACTCTTGACATTGGAGGATGAAATAAACAGAGATCTCCTTTCTCCATCCATCATGTTGCTTCGTAGTCTCCCAGAAAGTTTCGAGAACTTTCAGTGCACCATCGTGTCTCGTGATGAACTTCCAGCTCTGGAAATTATGTGAATCAAGGTTGCTGAAGAAAACGAAGCCAGGAAGGTGATGGAACAGAAGAACAACCAGAATGCCATGTTCGTGAACAAGGGGCGAGACAAATACAAAGACAAGGACGCGAAGATAAGTAGCTACGTCTACAAGCATATGGCCATCAGGCAAAGAACTGCAAGCAAATAGAGGACGGGCAGTCAGCAAGCAACGCGGCGGACGTTGCACTGTACTGCGAAAACGAGTAAGCATCCGAGGACAAGCTAGCTGGAACCCAGACTCAGTCCAAGGATTCAATCAAAACGCTTGAAATCAGCACGAAAGAGTTCAGCTTGGCAAGCAGCTCAAGCAAAGAGGTGAAAGGTACGGAAATGGCAAGGGCACAGTTGGAACATGACGGAAAAGCCAAGCAGGTGACGTTTCAAAAGGTACTGAACCTTTCAGATCTGCAGTGTAATCTCGTGCAGGAAATTATGAGCCGCTTGCCCTTCCTAAAACGACTTTGAAAGAAACTAGCATAAGAGATATTATCTACTCAGATGTTTGTGGACCCATGAGCACTCCGTTTCTTGCCAGAAGCAAATATTTCTGTACTTTCATCGACGACAGCTCAGGCAGGTGCTAGGTTAGGTTCTTAAATCAATAGAACGAGGTACTTCGGGAGTTTAAGACCTTTCTTGTCTCAATAAACACGCAGCTGGAACAGAAGGTTAAGTACAGACGAGTTTACTCGCATCTCTGTGAGCAGATGTGGTTAACACGGTTAACTTTAATCAAAGCCGCTGTCTCTCGAGAAGGCCTGGTGGTAAAATGCCATTCAAAATAATGCACGGAAAGCGTCCCCACGCGTCGCACCTTATGATTTTTGGTTGATGTCTTCGTTAAGGATAGACGTACCAACAAGGAGAAGCTGGAGTTGCATACAAGAAAAAGCGTGTTCATCGGATACTACAACGAAATTTAAGGCTATAGGGTATGACTCCTTGGGAAACGCAAGATCGGAGTGTTGAAGGACGTTAAATTCTTGGAGGACACCTCATACAGTTCCATTAAATTAATAAAGAAAGATTAGAGTGATCAGGGGGTGAGCCTGTTCATTGACCCCAACCCAATGACCACGCAAGAACCCAACGATGACTTCAACTCCACCAAAAAGGGCAACGACGTAGACTCCCTAATGGATTTTCGTGGTTTCTTATCAGAGGGACCAAACTTCTGAGGACCAGGCCCGTACTTTGATCCAAGAGATGAAGGAAGAACTTACACTGAAACGGCTGCTTATCTACATGAAAATATACCCTAGGTCATAGCCTTCCTAGCAGAGGTCCCGATTGTGAAGGCACTTACAACACCAGACTCCGATGAATGGCTGAACGCAATGGCAAGTGAGGTA